CATCTGCTGTTAAAAACGAGACTAGAGCATCATCTGCTGTTAAAAACTAACCTAGAGCATCATCTGCTGTTAAAAACGAGCCTAGAGCGCCATCTGCTGTAAAAACTAACCTAGAGTGCCATCTGCTGTTAAAACTGAGCGCCATCTGCTGTTAAAAACTAACCTAGAGCGCCATCTGCTGTTAAAAACGAGCCTAGAGCGCCATCTGCTGTTAAAAACTAACCTAGAGCGCCATCTGCTGTTAAAAACGAGCCTAGAGCGCCATCTGCTGTTAAAAACTAGCCTAGAGCGTCATCTGCTGTTAAAAACTAAGCTCAGAATCGATTCCAGAGAGAATCACGATGCATTCAGAAAATCTCAGAATCGATCCACGAATCGCGATCCCTACAGCTGATCCAGCTACTCACGTGCTTCAGGCTTATTTGAATGATTCATGTTTAGTGTGTTGCAGCAGGGTTGGAACTAAACTCTGCAGAGCCCCTGTGGTAATAAAATATGACAAATACTCAATTAAACTGTGTCAGAAAAAAAATAATCTTGATAATGTCAGATAACTTTGATAGAAAGGTATATAACAAAACATGGTCAGGTCAAAGTGTCAAATGAAATTTTTGGTCCCAAATTTTTATCAATTTTACTGGTTGTAAAAGTTGTGGCTATAATATGTCACAGTTCACTTTATTTTGCTATCCTCACTTACATAAATGAACTATAGTGTCCTGCACCCACTAGTAAAAAAATATAAAAAATGATATCTGCTGTCTGAATAATTTTTGGTTTGACTGTATCTGCTCTGACATCCAGCTGAATCGGGCGCATCGATCCCGAAGTAACGATATATCCATACTGATGAAAGTCAGTATGGATACTAAGGTGTTTTATTTACCAGTGATTTTGTTTATTTAATAAAAAAAATTACATGTACAGTATGCAGTGAATTGGACAAATAACCTACGTTAGCGAATAATTGTGTAGGATAGAACTATTTTCCAGCTCATCTGAACGCATGCAAATGTTGCAAAACAACAGAACCAATCAATCAATCAATCAATCAATCAATCAATCAATCAATCACAGAGAGCGCTCACTCACTTCTGACAGTGCATTCTGCCCTTCCCAAAACTATCATAAAGCATTGATGTTTTTGGGAACGGCAGCACAGAACAATGGAGGACAACTTATCAGAGGACAGAAAAAACATATGTTTGAGTTATTTCACAATAAACAAATTGAAATTGTAGCCTACACAGTTTGTGCAATTACATTTATTTACATAGAATGTTAAAGGTTCATATTGATCATGTTCTATTCTGTAATGTTAATATAAATCACACATTGTCAGAAAAAAAGGTTGTATTGTATGCGTGCAACAGCCTGTCACTGGCAGACCCTTATGAAAATGAACCATGGTTTTATTAAAGTGACCATAAAGTTCAATTATAGTATTTGTAGATTTCCATGGTTACCACTACAGTAAACATATTTTAACCACGTGTAAACAAACATTTAACCTAATAAGTTGCAATTAAGTAAATTAAATGAATGTTAAAATGCGTGTCAAATATAAAGTTAAGTGGGCATCATTACCCATTTTACTCGTAGTAATTTATTACATTTCATAATTGAAAAGTATCGTATCGGTATTGATATCGACGCTACTGGCCTTTAAAAGTATCGGCATCGTATCGAAAATAAAATAAGTGGTATCGCCCATCCCTACTGCAGTCGATGGGTTTTTTGGTTAAATGCTGTTTAACACAAGCTCAAAATATTTTCATGCGTTACTGTACTCTAGAAAAAAAGTGCAAAGACGCTGCTGGATGAAATGCCATCGTTTTTGAAGACATAAAGCTAATCAAAAGCTACAATTGTAGAGTGAGTCTTGCAGTTTTCTTCTTGATTTTTTTTTAAATATTAAACCTCTTCTACAATTGGTTGGGCACCTGCTATTCAATTCTGGTGCACATTTATTCTACGACATCTTAGATTTTACTTGTCTTGAAAAAAATGTTTGCTAAGTGTGTACATGGGGCTACAGAGGCTGTCTGGGAAATTAAATATCAACACAGAGAACAGGTAAACTCTAATCTACTCTAATCTAAATCTACTCACTAGTCGCTTTCACAGCTTCATTATGTTTATAATCAAACTATTCTAACGCAAACTTTCAGGGAAAGTGCTTTTAAATAAGGACTGAAAGAGTTCTTAAGATCTCGATGGCGATGCTGAAGTCATGTGACCGTGGTGTAGTTCGATTGTAGACTACATTTAGCTTTTTACTTCTGATAATTGCATTTAGGCTTCAAGATTCATGAAAGTTGTGTTCATTTGTGGAGATTATTACAAAAAGTGTAAGAATCACGAACTAACTTCTGTTGGTCACAGAGCTTATTTTCTGGGTTTTTGTGTTGGAAACCAGAGTGATGTAAACTTACAGCCTACAAAAATACACTGCAGCACTGTATTTGACTCCATTTTGGACAAGAAATGAACTTCCAAC